ACTATTATATGGGCTTGGCTTCCTTGGTGACTCAGACGGTAAAGTGTCTGCCTGCAATGCGGGAGACCCAGGTTCGAGCCCTGGGTCAGAAAGATCCCCAGGAGAAGGAAATGCCAACCCACTCCAGTACTCTTGCCTGGAAAATTCCATGGACAGAGGAGCCTTGTGGGCTACAGTCCATGGGGTCCCAAAGGGTAGGACAGGACTGGGCAACTTCATTTCACTTCACTTCAACTACTATATAGAGAATGGATAAACAAGGTCCCACTGTATAGCTCAGAGAACTACATTCCATATCCTGTGATAAACCATGATGGAAAAAAATATGAAAAAGAATGTACATATGTATAACTGAATCACTTTGCTGCACATTTGCTGAAATTAACAGTTAATCAACTATACTTCAATATAATTTTTTTTTAAAGTGACCATGTTAGAAAAAAAACTCAAACATAAATGGAGTTACAAAAGAAACTGGTTGTGAAAAAAGAATATAGATAGACCAGAAGTGACACCAGCAAAAACTGTGCATTAAAGGAACTCTCAGAAATATTCCACAATATTGAAAGTGCTAAGAATGAAATGTTGGAAAGTGATCCAAACTTAGAAAGGATGAAGACAATCCACCAAGGCACAGAAGAAAAAAAAAGTACTTATTCTGTATCATAAGTTATAAGAAGGCAAGTTCTACTCAAACTATTCTAGATAAGTTCTTTGACAAAGAAATAAAACATTTTAACTCTCAATGATTTTAATGTTTTAAATTACAGTGTACTAAACAGAGGAGGAGATGGTTGGATGGCATCATCAACTTAATAGACATGAGTTTCAGCAAACTCTGGGAAGATAGTAAAGGACAGGGAGGCCTTGTGTGCTGCAGTCCATGGGGCCATGGGATCACAAAGAGTCGGACACAACTTAGTGACTGAAAAAAAGTATGTTTTAATATTTTTTTTATTTTTTCATATATTTATGACTACCAGTGAGGATTTACAATGTTTGACAAAAATAAGTAAAAGTCACACAACACTCATAACTTTTCTTATTGAGTATTAAGACTGATTAGCTAGGTTTTAACTTGCATAGTCATTTGTATTGTCCCACCCGACTAAGCAAAGTGAGGACTGTCTGTACTTGTAAGTTCTGGCACATCAAGGTATTTAGTATTTCACAACTGAAGAGAAACCATCAAAGGGACTTCCTTAGTGGTCTAGTGGCTAAGATTCTGCACTCCCAATGCAAGGGGCCTGGGCCTGCTCCCAGGTCAGGGAACTAGATCCCACTTGCTTCAACTAAGAGTTCACATGCAGCAACTAAGACCCAGCCCTGCCGAATTAATCAATTAAAAAAAAAAAAAAAAACTATTGAAAAAAAGAGAGAAAGAAACTACCTTTTCCCTTGTTTGTTAAAATCCGCTTAAACCAAAAAGGAACATGAACTCAAACTGGATGATGTTAAGAAGATTGTGTTTAAGGTTTTTTAGTGACTAAGAACTGCTGCCATCTTTATGTGCAATTCCCCAAAGCTGTTTTTAAATTACCCAAAACGCACACACCCAATGCTGAGAGATGGGCTTCCTGAAGTTATTTAATTTGTCATCTGTGATAGTATATTACTTCATGCTTGTCCTCATCCCTTGCATGCTGGGGCAAAACAATAAATATGTGATAGAAATAATATGGTATAGTAGCTTTAGAGTCAGACCTCAACTTGAATATTATCTCTACCTGATTGTTTTGCAACCTTAAATTACTTATTAGGGTTTCAATTTCTTAATCTGTGATATAAGGATAATAATGCCTTCTTTTTGGAATTATAGTAAATGTCAAAAAAGATAAGATATATGAAGTGCTTAGCAAAATGTGATACATAGTAAGCACTTATATATAGCTATTATCACCATTATCATTATCCTTAATATTTCTATCATTATTGTAAATATTTTAATCATGATAAAGTTGCTTTGCTTTAAGCACATTATTGTGCGTGCATGCTAAGTTGCTTCAGTCATGTCCAACACTTTCTTAACCCATGGACTGTAGCCCACCAGGCTCCTCTGTCCATGGGATTCTCTGGGCATGATTACTGAGGTAGGTTGCTATTTCCTACTCTATGGGATCTTCCTAATCCCAGGGATCAAAACTCATGTCTCTTCATTGCAGCACTGTTTATAATAGCCAGGACATGGAAGCAACCTAGATGCCCATCAGCAGACAAATGGATAAGGAAGCTGTGGTACATATACACCATGGATTATTACTCAGCCATTAAAAAGAATTCATTTGACTCAGTTTAAAAAAAAAAAAAAACCAACTCATGTCTCCTGTATTGGCACGCAGATTCTTTACCACTGCTCCAACCTGGGGAGCCCAAACACATTATTAATCAGCCTATTTTTCAAAGATAAAGTCTCATATTCAGATATGAATAGATACACACTACTTACTGGGTAAGAAGGCTGACCTTAAATTATTTCAGATCATTTTCTTCCATGGTACATGTGCAAAGGGCTGCCAACACTCACTCATCCTCTTCTTGCACTCCCTGATACCTAGTCTGCTCAGAGTTTCCTCTTCTGAGGACATTAAGAACCAAAGCCATTTCCCATTTCTCAGCGCTATCTGTCAGAACAATAGTATCTTGCGCTCTCATATCTCACATGACTTAACTGTCAGTTTTCTCTTTTGATTCTAATCCTTGACTCTAAACTAACAATCATTATTACCTATATTGACCCATAAAGTTGCAAAGGACCTAAAGTCCAACTGAAGCCAATCCCTTTTCTCTACCAAACAATTGTTTAGTTGCTAAGTCATGTCTGACTCTTCTGTGGCCCACCAGGCTCCTCTGTCCATGGAATTTTCCAGGCAAGAATAGTGGAGTGTGCTGCCATTTTCTCCTCCCAGATCTTCCTGACCCAGAGACAAAGCCCAAGTCTCCTGCATTGGCAGGCAGATTCTTTACCACTGAGCCACCAGCGAAGCCCACCAAACAATTAATTCCCTCTAAACTATTCTATGCGAGTTAGCCTAGCAAGGTCTGTTTTAACACTTTTAGTGACAGAAAGCCCTCTACCTTTCGATTCAATCCATTCAATGATTATAACTTTAAAATTTTCCTTATGTTGAACCAAAATCTCTCCCCTTTCAAGTAGTTTCCACCCATAGGCTCTAATTTCACATTCTAGAAAAATACAGGAAGTTTATCTATTCTATACTACAGCCCAATCAACATTTGAAGACTCCTGAGTTTCACTTTTCCACATTACACATTTCTAGTTCAGAAAGCACAATTTTAAGCCCCTTCTCTCATGGACCTCCTCTGGACCGTGTATGGACTTGTCAAAGTGATCTAACAACAAATATGTAAAGCACTTCCTTCTCCAACATTTGAGCTGCCAAATAATTACACTACAAATGATCCCTTTGTCCATATCCATCCATTACTATGTAAAAATTATTAATTTAACTAGTAGTTCAGGAAAAGTAACTCTCAGCCTAAATCACAGTTTAAAGAAAATGGTACTGAAAGTCTTAAAAACAACCAGTTTTCGTGTGTCACAGTTTAAAGAAAATGGTACTGAAAGTCTTAAAAACAACCAGTTTTCGTGTGTGTGTGTGTGTGTGTGTGTGTGTACAACCAGTTTTCGTGTGTGTGTGTGTGTGTGTGNAGAGAACTCTTTGGGATCTCAGAATAGAGAGATAACTCTGTGTGTGTGTGTGTGTGTGTGTGTGTGTGTTTTAATGCTAGTCAATCACCAGGGAACACAATAAAGGAGGATCAGCTGGCCTGAAAGTCTCCTCTCTTTCCCACAAAGCCAAACACAAGCCTGGGGGGAAAAGACCCAACAATGGGAAGGTTAGTTAAAAAAGGTTTTGCTTCCTGTCCTGAGAAAGTTGAGCCAATTAAGAGAAGGCAGTAATAGTGAGCCAAAAAAATATTCTCTGTACCTTGCCAGAAGCAGATACCTGAAGGATCAAATATTGTGCTCTTAAAACTTGACTAAAGTAAACTACAAAAGAGAAGTGGCAGATTTTTCCTGAGCTCTCCTCGCCTGGCAAGAACGTCCATCTGGGGAAATACACACGCAGAGCCCCAAGGGACCAGTCAGGGGCAGCAACTGAAGAGGGTTCTTCCTAAGTCCTCAGTAGGTGCAATCAGTGCAAGTACTGTCCTCAGAAGAACCTATACATTTGTCAGGTAGTCGGAGAGGAGGCAGGGTGGAGTCGGGACTGGAACCCTTGTGCCCTTAGGAGCCTGGCACGAGCCGGAAGGTACTGACTAGAGGCTGCCGTCTACCTCCGGATGCAAGGAGATAGCCGAACGATCGTACTCCGAGAGGAGGTGATTTCTGGTACCGAAGATATCCCGGGTGGGAGTGGGCTGGGGGTACAGACAGGGGTCGGGATCTGACACGGGGAAAACCGTTCCCTGTAAAGTGACCGAAGAGGTCTCACAGGAACAGAGAAAGAGGAAGGCAAAGGCCGTATTTTCACGTATTTGGGGGAAGACTGAGCTAGGACCTGTTCCCTTCTCCTGTGCCCTTATGACGAAGGTGGTGACAGCAACAGTAGGAGCAGGTGTCCCCGGCCCTCATTCAAACGAGCAGAGTCCCCCACTGTCCCGAGCTCTTCTCGGGCTGTCCCCACTCGCCCCTCAGGCAGCGGAATCCCCATTCCCAACCCTGCCCCTCAGGCTTTCCCCTTAGGTCCAGCAGGGGCTCTCCACTTCTCTTCCGCCCCCCAATCTCAAGGCCACCCTCAACCCGTCCAGACTGGCCCTCCCCACTCGCCAGTCTGGATTGCTCTAGCTGCTGCCTTCCTCCGCAACATTCCCGTTCCAGTCCCCTGGCCCGGTCTCCCCTACGCCACCTCCCCCGGCCAGGCCCGGTGCCTCCCCCGGCGGCCAGGTCCGCCCTCTGCCTTCCTCACGCGGCGTCTCCCCCTCAGACCGGCGCCCTCCCTCCCTCGCTCCCGCCTCAGGCCGGCACCCTCACTCACAGAACTCTGCGATGTACCAGGTCACGGCGTAGTTCTCCTCGCACCAGTCCAGCGTGGAGGTCGTTGGACCCCAGTAGCCCTCGCGGTCCCCGGCGGGAGCCATCGCGCGCGCCGCCGCCGCCCAAGCGCTCCACTGGCTGCGATCGGCTCCGCGGGCTCCCAGGCCGGCTCTGGCCCTGCTCGCGCGCTAGTCTAGCGTCCCGCCCGCCCTCCGTCCCCGAGGGGCGGGGCCCGGCGCCGTCAGCGACCCGCCGGACCAGAGACCCCGCCCACCGCGGCCGGCGCAGAGCCCAGGCCGAGGGCCGGGGACTGCCCTGCCACCTCCTTCCTCGGGAAGGGGTGTGACCTGGGCCGCCGGCCCCGCCTAGACACGCCCTTGGCTGTGGGTTAGGCGTTCCNTTTCTGCATATTCATTTTGAAAATACAAATATATATATTCATTTATAAATTATATATACTTATGATTATTATACATATTAAGAACATACCTGAGACAGAAATTTTAAAGGACAAGATAAAAAAATGACTAGAAATAAAAGTTTTCCCACTCCTCAGTATTATTTCTCTCTTTAAAGACTGCCATCTTGGATGTCTTCTATTTACCTCTATGTGTTCCTGCGGTTGTTAAGTCCTGTTCGATTCTTTACAACTCCATGGATTGTAGTCTACGAGGCTCCTCTATCCGTGATATTTCCCAGGCAAGAATACTGGAGTGGGTTGCCATTTCCTTCTCCAGGGGGATCTTCCCCACCCAGGAATCGAACCCACGTCTCTTGAATAGCAGGCAGATTCTTTACCATCTGAGCCACTGGGGAACAACAAATCCTGGTCCCAGAAAAATGAAGGGGGAGGGGGGCACTTTGAGATCATGAAACAACAGTGCAGCCAGAACGCTAAAGCCTGCTTCCCTTTGGGCTTCCAAGCCAAGAAGTTTCCACCATCTAGCAATCTATAATTGTGCCCAGTTCTTCAGGCAACCCACAGCCTCCCCTACTACCAGCTTCAAGACCTTAATACTTGGCAGAGCTGCTGGAGGGATCTTTTTAAAACACAAATGCACGCCCCCTGCCCCTAGAATTCAGCTACACCAAACTCTTCCCTAGCTCAGAATGTACGGGGTCCACTCCCATCTTCCTGCCTTTGCGCCTGCGTTTCAGCTGGGAATGCCGGCCTTCCTCTCTTCTCCATTGACTAGTTTCCACTGGTCCTTTAGAATCTGGCTTCCTGAAACCCTCCTGACTCTTACCCCCAGTCGCTCCTTTGACCTTTGTTCCTATCCTCCAGTGAAAGATACATCCTGATCTGAAAGTCTGATTTCCGTCTTTACCTCCTAACAGCCAGGATTCTGCCTGACCATGCACTTTGCAACACAGAGTATAGTTAAGGATGGCACAACTGCAATTTAATATTTTCTAAAGAAATAAGTCAGGTAAGATGTAATCAAAGGTAAAAGATATTACAGCCTCTCTACAAAATGTCTATAGCAGATAATAGATGCAGAACCTTTACTGGCAGTGTGCAAACCTAGGAATAAAGGTTGAGTGTTTAATAGAAATAGTAGGGTATCGAAATTTTTCTTTTGAACAGCAGACATTGAGCTGCTATGTACTCAGCCTTTGGCTGAATGCTAGGAACACATGGGAACTTCCCTGCTGCCTCAGTGTTAAAGAATCTGCCTGCCAATGCAGGAGTCGCAGGTTTGATCCCTGGGTCAGGAAGATTCCCCCGAGGAGGAAATGGCAACCCACTCCAGTATTCTTGCCTGGGAAATATCACGGATAGAGGAGCCTCGTAGACTACAATCCATGGAGTTGTAAAGAATCGAACAGGACTTAACAACCGCAGGAACACATAGAGGTAAATAGAAGACATCCAAGATGGCAGTCTTTAAAGAGAGAAATAATACTGAGGAGTGGGAAAACTTTTATTTCTAGTCATTTTTTTATCTTGTCCTTTAAAATTTCTGTCTCAGGTATGTTCTTAATATGTATAATAATCATAAGTATGTATAATTTATAAATGAATATATATATTTGTATTTTCAAAATGAATATGCAGAAATACATACTACAAGTGATTTGTTGATGAGATTGCAATAAAAACTGTAGATACCACAACTGTAGACTGTGTTAATACTTGTTGCTAGAAGTAAAGCAAAAATTAGGGTGTTGTGGGAGCCGTTATGTGGAAAGTATGTCTAACTCAGCCAAGTGACCCAAAGCAGAAGATGAGGCCTTGGCTACATCAATACCTAGCACATTAACAGTTGGGGGCAGAGGGGACCTACCATGATCAGGACAAAATTTAGGAGAGAAAAATCAATTAATTAAGAGAATTATTTGTTGTTGTTGCTGTTTAGTCAATAAGTCCTGTCCAACTCTTTTGCAACCCAATGGAAATCCATGGGATTTCCCAGGCAAGAATACTAGTTTGCCATTTCCTTCCCCAGGGGATCTTCTAGACCCAAGGATTGAACCCCTGTTTCCTGCATTGCAGAATTCTTTACCACTGAGCCACCAGAGAAGCCCAAAAGAAATATTAACTAATCAATAAAGAGAAAAAGTAAACAGCAGTATCACTGAGAAAACACAAAGTGGATTTCATAGATCCTTCAGCAATATCTGTCTTCCTTTCTCTCTTTTCTAAAAAACTTCCCCCCAGCCCAGTATTAATGCAATGCATGAAAATATAAGGAACCAGAACAACCAAAGCTATCTCGAAAAAGAAGGAGGATTTACACTTCCCAATTTCAACACTTACTACAAACCTCCACCAATCAAAACAGTGTAGTACTGGCATATGGATAAACCTGTAGATCAATGGAACAGAATCGAGACTCGAGAAATAAATGATAAATTTATGGTCAGTTGATTTTCAACAAGGATGCTAAGAGAAGGAATAGTCTTTTCAACTGGTGTTGTAACAACTAGATGTTGTTGTTTGGTCCTAAGTTATGTCCAACTCTTTTTGTGACCCCATGGACTGTAGCCCACCAGGCTCCTCTGTCCATGGGATTTCCTAGGCAAGAATACTGGAGTGGGCTGCCTTTTCCTCCACCCAGGGGTTGAATCCATGTCTCCTGCATNATTCGATGGACATGAGTTTGAACAACCTCTGGGAGTTGGTGATGGAAAAGAAGCCTGGCATGCTGCAGTCCATTGGGTCACAAAGAGTTGGACATGACTGAGTGACTGAACTGAACTGAAAACTATTAACTCTTAGGAATATACATAAAAGTAAATCTTTGTTGTGACTTCCCAGGTGGCCCAATGGCTTAGAATCCTCCTGCCAATGCAGGGGATATAGATTTGATCCCTGGTCCAGGAAGATCCCACATGCTGCAGAGCATGTCCATGCACTGAAACTACAAGTGGCCAAACATGTAAAGATGTTCATGTTTGCCATACTAGAAATGCAAATAAAAAATAAAAATCAGATACGACTTTACACACTCTAAGAAAACCAATATTTAAGAAAGATGTGGAGAAATTGGAGCCTTCATATATTGCTGCTATGTAAAATGATGCAGCCACTTTGAAAAACAGTTCCTTAAAATGCTAAGCAGAGTTACCATATGACCTAACAATTCTACTTCTAGGTATATACTAAGAGAATTGAAAACACGTGTCCACAAAAAATGTACAAAGATGTTCATAGCAGCATTAGTCACAATAACCAAAGAGTGGAAACAAAGCAAATTCTATTAACTGATGAATAAATTAATAAAATGACTACCCACATTTGTGTCAGTCACTCAGTTGTGTCCAACTCTGCGATCCTATGGACTGTTAGCCCACCAGGCTCCTCTGTCCATGGGATTTTCCAAGTGAGAATACTGGAGTAGGTTGCCATTTCCTCCTCCAATGTCAGCCAACTTAGTGTAGTCTAAAGTCTTAACACGTGCTTGCTTGAGTCCTTCAAAAATATATCTGGCAAAGTGTTTCTGTTGTAGGAACTGTTTGGCTCCCAATAGGGAGGAGGGCTATTTCATGTTCCCTCTTTCCCCTTGACTCACATTCAAGCCATTCAACTCCAAAAGTGGTAGCTACCCTCAAAACTCGAGTTTTCAAGTCAGGAGTCAGCGTCTGTCCCAAGACGTACATTACATCTCTCCAAGTAAGGTCATAAAGGAAAGTTAGTCCCATAAAGGCTTCATGTACTTTTTGGATCCTCTAAATAGTCTCAACTGCAATTGGGACTATTTGAATTTCTACCAAGACTGGGGCAACCCCTCCTGGAAGGGTGTCCTGACTCAGTCTGTTCAGTTGGGAGCCCTGGATACAGGAGCAAAGTAAGAGGACAGAAGGAAGCTGAAGGTTTCAGACCCAAATCTGCACGCTTAAGACGCAAGTCTGGCATGTCTCACAGAGAGATAACGAGCAGCACATATGGCACATCTACCCATTTCTCTTGTTTTCTGCAGATTGAACTTAAAGGGGTGGTTCTTGGAACTGCTAGTTATTCCTATGGGTATAGAATACCCATATAAAGGAGTATTATTCCATATAGTGGAATATTATTTGCCAATAAAAAGAAATGAAACACTGATACATGATGCAATGTGGATGACCCTTGAAAACATACTGCACCAAAGAAGTCAAACACTCAAGGGTCCTTATTGTATGATTCTGTTCATACAAAACATCCAGGGTAGGCAAATCTATTAGTGATAGAAAATAAATTGTTGGCTGAGAAGGGGGTAGGAATGCGGAGTGACTGCTAGCAGTTACACATTGGTTTTCTTTGGGGATGATGAAAGTGTTCTAAAATTATTTTGTGGTAAAGGTTGCACAATTCTGTAAATATGAAAAAAAAAAGCCAGCATTGAATTATATATTTTAAGTTGCACAATAAATGTTCTAAATAGCTGAACTGTGTGGTATGTGAGTTGTATCTTAATACACCTTTCTGTAAAATACATTCTAATGTTGAAAAATTTAGAAGCTATANCTGAACTGTGTGGTATGTGAGTTGTATCTTAATACACCTTTCTGTAAAATACATTCTAATGTTGAAAAATTTAGAAGCTATACAAAAAAGTGTTAAAAAAAAAAAAAAAGGAAATCATTATAATCTCACCAACCAGCAATAACCATTATCAACACTGAAGTATATTTTCTTTGAGCATTTTATGTATGGATTTTTTTCATTTGGTACTAACAATG